TCTTTCTTTTTTTTTTTTGATGCAACTAGAGTTTGAACTCCTTGCAAAGTAGGCACTTTACCACTTGGGCCACACCTCCAGTCCATTTTGCTCTGGTTATTTTGGAGAACTTTCTGCCTAGGCTGGCCTCTAATCACGATCCTTCTGATCTCAGCCTCCTCGTGGTACCATCTTGTATTGTGACTTGCCACTGCTTGTCCAGACACCGAGGCCCAGATGCCTCCCAGCCACACCTTAGGGCTTCCTTACCTCTCCAAAGAGAAGCTCTTTTGTACCTGCTACGGCCTGCCTTCCTAGACCTAGGGGTGGGGATGCTCACCTGGAAGGTCAAGGGCTACAGCTCGATAGCCCCTCTGTGACAGCAGTTGCAGTGTGCCCAGCTGCTCCCACGTGTGGGAGTTAAAAGCCTTTCCATGCAGCAGTACCACCTCGGCCCTGTAGACATACAGGAAGGTGTGTGTCTAGGGCCTGGGGTACCCACTTGTCTTTCTTCCCAGGCTTCTCCCACTGCCCTCCTAGACCTGAGCCCCCACCCCCCAAGTTAAGCTGGGGCTCCTCTATTAGACCCTTAAGTCAGTACCCACCTGCGTGCCCGGTGGAGTGGGAGAGCCTCACGGTAAAAGATGGGGGAGTTGCCTAGGGTGAGACCAGCCAGGACTGTGACATTGGGGTCTCTCCAGACCCAGGAATTCTGCTCAGGAGTGGCTGGCAGCCCTACATACAGTAGCAGCATGAACAGCAGGCCTAGGCCCAGCAGGGCTGCCTGGTACCGGCTCATGGAAGCCTGTACCACAGTCTGGAGGAGGAGAGAGGAAAGAGGTCAAGCTGGGGAAGAGCTCCAGCCCCTGCCCTTTCCCTTGCTCTGGACAAAGGCTCATACCCAACTCTTCTGTATGTCAGGGCAAAGGCCCAGATACCCCAAGGTGTGAGGAGGTGTCATCTGACATGGCCCTCTGGCACGGACTGTAACGATCACCGTCATCTATCATCCCTGTGCTAGCTAAACCCAATTCCTCTTCCTCCTCCTTTTTCTTTGTGGTACTGAGGTTTGAACTCAGGGTTTCACGTTTGTTAGGCGGATGCTCTGCCACATGAGCTGTACCCCAGCTCTTAAACTCACTTCTATTCACAAGCACCAGGCTCAACTGTGCTTTGCCCTCGTCCACAAACAACACTGATTAGTAGACAGGATTGTAGGTCTCTGGCAGATGAGAAAATCCAGACTCACACCCATGAATTTTTTTGCCTAAGTAGCAACTAGGGGAATGGGAATTTGAACCCAGGTCTGGGTTCTGACCACCATACCACACCTGGTTTGGAAGAAAGAAATCATGGAACTGGGAGGTGATGGATGAATTGGATCCTTGCTGGTGGTCAGAGTGGTAAGGGCTATCAAAGGAGAAAGGTTATAGCAAAGGAGAGGGTATGTTGGGAAGTGGTTCTTTGTCTAACACAGCTGAAATCAGGCTGTTTTACAGTTGGTGGAATACATAACGGTCACTCCATCATGAGGAAGCTCACAGATGGAGTGAAGAAGGAACACTGAGGCCTGAGCTGGTGTGCGCTGGGAGGAGTGTGGTTTACCTAGGAATGTCAAAGGCAGTGTGGAGACTGAAGCAGAGATGCCCCCAACCCACCCCATTACCCACCCCCCACTTCTACCAAATGACCTTCTTCACACACTCCTCCAGTACCTGCAATTGAGACCCAGCTCCACTTTCTGTGTGTCTTCAGTTTTTCAGTAAAATAGGATAACCTCCTGTCTGCTCCAAGCTTCCTGCGAGATTTAAATATTATAGTAGACCTAAGGTGTGTGTGGGGGTGGAGGGTTGGGGCGGTGTCCCTGTTATCATTTCTTGAACCTAGGATGAGCGTGTCTGCTTGGGTTCCGGGACTCTTTATTGAACACCAACTGGGTGCCACCTAGGACATGTTGGGCCACACCCACCTCTCCAGGACATTTTAGGGGATGTTTCCGGAAGCCCTACCCACAGATTCCGGAGTCAGGCAGTGTGTGGGCCCTGGCAGCTCATCCCGTGCTCCTCTTTTCTTCTTCACCGTGAGCAGCCCGGACACGCACCTCCAAAACAGCCTGAGCCCGGGTTCTCACCAGGCGGAAAATCCACGTTGGACCTCTCCTTTCCATGCTCAGGGAGATCCCGCACCTCTCTCAAGGGGGAAGGATGGAATTCCCTCGTTGCCTTGGCAACCCAGGCCGTGGCTATACTAGATAACTGTAGGGGTCCTTCACGAGTCTCTCTACAGATGGGGTGTGTGTGAGTGGAGAGTTAACTGTGCTTTAGGTCGCCGGAACACAGGTGTACACATGAGCATACAGCCATCAAGTCTTGTTCCCCACATGCTCCTCTTTTGCACAAGTTATTCCCCAGCCTCCCTGCACATGTACTGGCCTGGGCACTATGGACCCCTTGCAATAACACCTTCCAAATCATGAGCAGTCAATCATCAAGAAGGCAGCCAGGGCCTGGGCATGCCTGCCCAGCAAACCCCAGTACTGCAAAAATAAATAAAATTTAAAAAATAGTAAGGAGCAGACGGATGAACACACACAGGCTTTTCAAACCATATGCAAGCTGGCGATGTGGCTCAATGGTAGAGTACTTGCCTAGCAAATGCAAGGCCCTGAGTTCAATTCCCCAGCACTGCAAGAAAAAGAAAGGAGAGTGAGAGAAAGAAAGACCATATGCAGGCCAAAGAAAGAAAGAAAGACCGTATGCAGGCCGGGTATGTGATTTTTTTTTTCCCTGAGATAGGGTCTCATGAATAACTATTTCCCTGGGCTGGCTTTGAACTACGATCCTCCTGATCTCTGCCTCCTGAGTAGCTAGGATTACAGGCGTGAACCACCAGCACCCGGCCGGGTATGTGAATTACATGCCAGTAATCCCAGGAATTGGGAGGCTACGGCAGGGAGATCTCCAGTTGGAGGTCAGGATGGCCGATGTAGGGAGTTCTAGGCCAGTCTAGGGCTACACCGCAAGACCCTGTCTCAAAACAAACAAGAAACAACCCAAGCCAAGTCAAATAACAAAAATGAAGACCACCAGAAATCTCTAAGAACACAGTCATATACACAACTCTTTTTCTTTCTTTGAACTCAGGGCTTTGCGCTCACAGAGCAGGTGCTCTACTGCTTGAGCCACATCTCCAGTCCATTTTGCTCTAGTTATTTTGGAGATGGGGTCTTGGGAACTATTTGTCTGGAATAGTTCCTCATCATCTCAGTCTTCCAACTAACTAGGATTGCAGGTGTAAGCCACCAGCGCCCAGCCATACACATAATTTCTTTTCTTTTTTTTTTTTGGTACTGGGTTTTGAAATCAGGGTCTCACGCTTGCCAGGCAAACGCTCTACCACTTGAGCTACTCCATCAGCTTGTGGGTTTTTTTTTTTTTTTCCTTTATTATTGTGCTGAGTGGGGAAACATTTGTAGCATTTACAAAAGTTCTTACAATGTATCAAATATATCATACTTGAATTCACCCCCTCCACCGCTCTCCTTTATCCTCCCCTCCCCCGTGTGGGTATTTTCGACACAGGGGCTCAGGAACTATTTGCCCACGCTGGCTTCGATCCTCAATCCTCCAGATCTCTGCCTCCCAAGAAGCTAGGATTAGAGTAAGCCTGGCACACACAACGTAAGTACACACATAAGAAACACAGACATGGGCAGACCGATGGACATACACACTGACGCACACAAGATAAGAAATTATGTATGTTAGGCACATAAACCCAGATCCCTAAGAATATATGCACACTCGCCGTCCCAGCCAGCGCCTGCCTCTGCCGCAGGCGGCTGGGGCAAGGATGGCCCGCCCCGGGACAACCTGCAGGCCTCCCTCCTCAGGGACACTCACCGGGCCGTCAGGGATGACCGGGCGGGCCACCGTGGGGCGGGCCCCGCTCCCGCCCAGCCGGAACCGAGCCAAACAGCGCAGTGGTCCGGACACTGCCTCCGCCACCCCGGTAGGCTGCTCTCCAGTAGGCGGAGAAAGTGCGGCCACCGAGGCGCGCCTGCGCAGTCCGCAGCTGCAGGCGGTGCTTCGTTACCAAACAGCGCAGAAGAGGGGGGTGGCGGACGGCGCCCCAAAGCACCAAGGGTCGCCGTGCCACGTCATTTTCCAAATTGTTTTCGGCCTGTAAGCCGGCCGGCAGAAAGTCACCCCGATTCTTCATTTTCGCTGGATTTTTTTTGGTGGTATTGGGTTTGAACTCGAGGCCTTGCTAGGCAGGCACTCTCCCGCTTGAGCCACGCCTCCAATCCCTTAGTTTCTGTCTGTACATTGGGGTAGAGGAAAGGACCCACCACATAGGGTTGTCGTTGGACTTAAGGATAGGCCAACAAGACTCAGAATGGTGCCTGGCACGGAGGCTCCTTTTGTTAATGTCAGATACTAGTGTTGTTTTGCAGCAGCTCGGGGTCGCCGCCTAACCACCTCTCAGACACCTGCGCGCGCGCGCACGCACAACCTGGAGTTGGCCGCCGAGTTCCTTTTCTGTTCATGGCACCTATCCTGGTTGGCGACGTGTGACCAACGTCTGTTCTGTCCTAGGCTTAGGGCTCTGAGTGGCGACTAGGCTCAGGGAGGCGGTGAATAGCGCAGCGGGCTCACCACTCATTAGTACCCTACAGAGGGTGGTAATATCTGACACATTTTACACATTTTACAGGCAAGGGACTAGCTCGGACTCATTGGGAAAACGATCATGGCCACTTGGCTGGACTTTGGTGGAGCTGTGCAGTCAAACTTGTCGGGCGTCAATTTTGTGCCAGATGCACAACCCGGCTTGTGACCCAGAAATGAGGGCCCTGGGGGTCAGGAGGGGAGCTGCAGGAATGTGATCCGAAAGAACACTCCTTCTCACAGCGCGCCAAGTTCATGTGTGGCAGGTCACTGAGGGTTCCAGGACCTCAGTGGGGCACGCGGGGCACGCGGGGCCGAGGGACTTTCGACTGCTGTGAAAACAATCGGGAGAATTTAGCTGCGAGGACGCACCCAGTGCCGTTTGTGGCCACAAGAGGGCGGCCCGGAGCCTTGGCTCGTGCCCGGGCTCCGCCCCCACCCCCAGTCCAGCCTCTTTCCAGTCCAGCCTCTTTCCAGTCCAGCCTCTTTACATTCTGCTTCACTCACTTCTGCCTCCTGCGCCAGACCACGCATCTCCCCAGGTACCCCTCACCCTCTGCTCTTCTGATCCTCGATTCTTCTCTGCACTCCCACCTACCCCAAGCCTTCCTATCGGATCCCTAAGTCCCCTCCCTCTGTGCTGCTCCTCCTCCCTGTACGCCCTCCAGACCCAGAGGATCCGGAACTGTAGTCGGCTATTGGACCAAGTGAGCCTTGGCGGCGCCGGTGACCGCGTCCCCGTCCATAGCGTCAACCCTTGGGCCCCGGTGGCTAGTGTGCTAAGCACCCTGCGTCCCCTGCAAGCTGGAACTCCAATGCTCTCGCCTGCTGATTGCTTGGATGTCCGCCTCTGGAAAATGGGCCACTTACCCCAAACTTGGGCTCCCTCCAGCCCGCAGTGCCAACTCGTGCCCTGTACCAGAGTGTTGGGCTGGATGAGGCTGTTAGCAAAATAGTGAGGTACTTTCCTTCGATTGAGTGCTTACTTGTGCTAAGCACGGTGTCAAGTTTTTCACATGCATGTCTCCCATTTTTCCTATCAACTGCTTATGAACTTGTACTATTGAATTACTCTTATTTGTAGAAAAGGATAATAGCGAGACCAGTAATCGTAATGGGATCCTCACCTATTGAATTCTTACCATCAGCAGACACCCTCACTGTTATTTATTTTTCTTAAACTCTTAATTAAATAATTTTATTGTCCCTAGTCAGTTGAGAAATCTGAGGCCCGAGGTCACATGATCGGAGTGGCAGAGGCAGAAATAACACCTGTGTCTTCCTGACCCTAAATTCCCAGAGTCCTGGAAGCCTCCTTCCTGTTCCTTGCAGGGCCCTACCCTCTCAGTGGCAGCCTCCCTGCCGCACCAGGGTAAGACTTCTGTAACCCTTCATCAGCCTGGCTTTAAATCACAGGTACTTCACCAGCACCTGGTGCTTCCGCAGGCATGGCAAGTGTGGAGCAGCGTGAGGGCATCACCCAGGTGCAGGGCCAGGGCCTCTTCTTCCGAGAAACACTGCCAGGTGGTGGGCAGGCCGCTCGCTTCTCTGTGCTGTTGTTGCATGGTATCCGCTTCTCCTCTGAGACCTGGCAAAACCTGGGTACGCTGCACAGGTTGGCCGAAGCTGGTTACCGGGCTGTGGCCATTGACTTGCCAGGTACTTCTGGTGCAGTTTCTGGGTAGAGACTGGGGAGGTCTTGGGGACCCAGGGTCTGGGACTTGAAGAGTGGGGGACCTAGCCAGGGTAGGCTCTGAGCTAGGCAGAGCTGGGTACATTCTGCTGTGCCTATGAGTTTTCCCAATCTTGATGTAGATTTAAGGGGCAGGGGGGAGGTCTCAGTGTTTCTGAGCCTCTGTTTTCTCATCTGTAATGGGAGAATGGAATGAGATTACCCAGATATGGCTAGTATTTGACAGGTAGTAACAAGTGCTCAGCTGATTTGAAGAAAATTATTTTGACAGAACCATAATCACAGGGGTGAGACTTGAATCTTTTGGCACCTCGTGGGACAGGACAGTGCCTGGTGGGTGGCTAGGCTCATAGTCGTCATTCCACATACAAAGGTCCTAAATTGGGACTAGAGGAGTTGGAGACAGCCAACTGCCTGTCATAACTTGGACCACCAGGCCTCAGCCCTTGGTGTCAAGTGTAGGAGAGTCATGGTCAGCACTGGTATGGTTTCAGGCCTCAAGGATAGGCCTCCAGTGCTGGCAGGATTGGGTTCCAACAGTGAGCTGGGCTGAGGTCTAGAGCAAATGTCATTGTCAAGAAGTGGGGGATGACTGACTGGAGTGCCCCCCACCCCCAACACTGTCCTCCAGAGCTCCCTATGCTAATTCAGGGCCAGATGTCTTATAAGCAGTTAACTTATTTTTCACAATGATCTTAAATGGTAGGTGTTTTCTTTACTGCCTTTTAATAAGGGGTAAATTGAGCAGCTGAGGGAGGGCTGAGGGGACTTACCCAGGGTCGCATGGACATAAATGGAGAATGGATGCTTGGAGCCAGTCCTGTTAGACTTCAGAGACTGATTCTTTCCGTGGCACTGCTAGTACAGGGGAAAATGGGTACAACCGTGGAGGGAAATGCCTCATGCTTGCCACAGATATGATAGATTGGGTCACCTACTGGGTGGTACAGAAACCTGGGCACAGAAATGTCTACCAAGGGAGGGCTTCCTGGAGGGAGGGACCCTCGTTTTCCCACTCACTCCCCGTGTCTCTTCCTACACCTGAATCCCTGCAGGTCTTGGACGCTCTAAGGAAGCAGCAGCCCCTGCCCCTATTGGGGAGCTGGCCCCTGGCAGCTTCCTGGCAGCTGTGGTGGATGCCTTGGAGCTGGGCCCTCCAGTTGTGATCAGTCCATCTTTAAGTGGCATGTACTCTCTGCCCTTCCTCACGGTGCCTGGCTCCCAGCTTCGGGGCTACGTGCCAGTGGCTCCCATCTGCACAGACAAAATCAATGCTGTCAGCTATGCCAATGTGAAGGTACCCTGCGTGGGAAGCTGAGATGCCCCTGCTAGGAGCAAGGAAGGGCCCATCTCTAGGCCTTCCTTATCTGGGGGCTGGGTAACCAAGGGGTGCCTTCCTGGGCAGATTACTGTGCCAAGCCCTATGCTAAACTGTCCCAAATCCATGCCCCCACCTACTGTACCGGCTTGTCTCCTCCTCAGGGTGGCCCCAGAAAGAGACTTAAGTGGTGGGGAGAACCTTTAGGACACTGGGGCTGGTGTGGCAGGTTCCTGTTGACACTGCCCCACTTTTCTTTCTCTTAGACGCCTGCTCTGATTGTATATGGAGATCAGGACCCCATGGGCTCCACCAGCTTTGAACACCTGAAGCAGCTGCCCAACCACAGGGTGCTGGTCATGGAGGGGGCAGGGCACCCCTGTTACCTGGACAAACCTGAGAGGTGGCATACAGAGCTGCTGGACTTCCTGCAGGGGCTAGCATGAGGCTCAGTACTGCTATGGGTGGGCTACCTGCCTGCCTTGGGATCTCTCTTTCTCCCTCTCTCTCCCTACTTCCGTGGACTCTGGCTTATTATGCACACGCAACAGGTGTGTCTCTTTATGTCTACCTGAGTCCTTTTGGAGTCTGTCTGTCTTTTCTACTTCTTTCTCTTGTAGAGACAACACTGTGGAGGTAAAATCAAGAGGAAAAAACTCAGAAATGATGGCATGTAATCTGGTGGAGGGCAATCCATGAGCTTCTCCAGGCTTTCCTGCTTGGCTCTGCCTTCCCCTCCACCTCCTTCAGCTGCCCTCCAGGCCAGTCATCCCTCCCCTGCTCCTCTTAGACCACAGATACATATACATCCATGTGCGTACTTGCACGTTTAGAGTCATCTACCTTCTCAAATAGGACGCGCACTTGGGGAGCAACCACACAGGTACATGTGACGGGACTAACGTGCGTATATTTTCACAGTTTTTCATTGCATGCACATGCATAAGTGCTTCCGCAGCTTCAAGTGAACTTCAAACCATGCAGCCCCTCACTGTCTGGGAAGGTGGTACCCCATGGACCAGTCCTTGCAGGAGACTCGCTGGCCAGGCTTAGGGTGTGGCCGACTTTAGCTTCCACCCACTCATCCACAGGTTGCATCTAGTCCCAGCCCAGAACTGCCTCTCAGAACGGGAAGCCCACCCCTCTGCCTCTCAGATCTCCTCCCGATTTCCCTCCTTCCTTCTAGGGCTCCACACTTCTCCAGGTTATCAAGCCGGGGCTTCTCAGCCAAGCTTGTTTCCTATTCTGAGGTTTGGGGGGTGGGGAGACAGATTGTGGAGGTCGTTGGAATAAAGTGATGCAATTAGACCCCACAGGCTCTTGCTGTCTGCGGAGCGCCGCCCCTCCCCCCCGCCCCTTGGGACTGCCACTGTGGGCCCCTCCCCCACCCTGGCGCGACCAGATGGTCCCCCTGCCCTTTGTCCACCAGGCCAGATGGAGAGAAAGGGAGATTGGATTCCCCTCCCCACCCACAAACACCCAGGTGCCAAGAGACTCAGCTGTGGGGGAGGTGGAGGTCAGTGGGACCAGGCTGAGCGGATTACAGTGAGGGGGAGGAATAGCTGCTCCCAGGGTGGAGGAGGGGCGGGGGACTTGGAAATAGCTCAGCTCCTCCCCCAACTCTTACTTATTCTTTCTCTAGTAAAGGACTGAACGGCGCCCCATCCCTTGCGACCCTAGCCCCAAAAGGAATTCCGGCGGTAGATTTTGGGGAATCACGGGGCGGGGTGCATAAGGGCTCTCAGGCCCCTCCTCCAGCTGGTCCGGCAACCTGTCCTGCGCGGACAAGGGCCGGGCAGTGCGGAGGCTGTAGGGTGGCCGAGGGGAGCGGGTTTTGGTGGACAGCCCAGAAAGGAGGATGGTGCAGAGCCAGGGCGAGGCGGAGGGCTGAGGCCCGAGCTCCAAGGGACCGGATCCCGGAGCGAGGAGGAGATGGGGGATGCAGAGGGCTCGGGAGAGGCGCGGGGCTGGGAGGACTGGCTGGGCGGGAGCGCAGCGGCTCGCGATGGGGCGCAGCGCGGGCGGCATGGGGAGGACCGCGGCTGGGCACCGCGCTTCACGCCGGACCCCCTACCCCCCACTCCTGGGGGAGCTGCAGGGAAAGGGTCGCCGAGCCCTCCCGGAAGCGGCCGCAGCTCGGGGCGCACCGCGGCGCGCGGGGCGGGGCGGGCGGCTGCGGCACTGGGGCGGCTGGGGCGGGCCCGCCGCGCTGTAATCGGATCCGGGGAGGGGGCGGGGAGGGGCCGGGCCAGGCGGTCCGGGGGGTGGGGGTGGGGGGGGCGCGGAGCCGGGCTCCGGGCCGGCCGGGCTCCGCGCCTGTCAAACCCCTCATTGTTCGCAGCTGATGTCACTCGCAGTTGTGAGCGGCCGCCTCTCCCGGGGACAATGTGGGACTGAGCGGCCCAGCCGCCGCGCCGCCGCCGCCGCCGCAGGACAGCCCCAGCGAGGTAGGGCGCGGGCCGGATGGGACACGGCGGGCTGCGAAGTTTGGGGGGTTCGGCTGGGGTCGGGGAGTCGGCGCCCGTGTGGCACCGGCTGGGGTCCTGGGAAAATGCGAGAAACACGTTCCCTGTCCCATACGGCTGAGGCCTGCACAGGTGGGGGGCGCTGGTTTGCCAGAGGAACCCCGGAACCAGGAAGGGGCTCCCTGGATCTTAGGTACCAGATTTGAGGCCCCCATCCTATTCACTGTTTCTGTCCTTTGAGCCTGCTCTTTTCTCGCCCTCCTGGCCTGGGTTCGGGTTCTGCTCCGTCTCTGTCTCCCATTTGCCATTCTCCCGCAGCTCCTGGCTCACACACCCTTTCCCATTTCCTGCAGTCCTTGGAGGAGCCAGACACAGACCTTCAGGCCAAGGGTGTATGGAGATGATAGTTAGGGGCCCAGAGTGGTCCCTCTGGCCCTGTAGCTCTTCACAACTCTGATCTAGCTTCTTAACTGGGGTCCTGGGAGTGGGGGTGGGGGTCTCTAATACTGACTTCAGCCTGGTCCTCATGCATGCCTAGCCAGGAGAGGAAGATGCCTGCTTCTTCACTCCCCTATCCCAGGCCCGCCATCTTGGGACCTGTGGCACCCAGGGCCCCGCCCCACCCCAGCACCCAAGGGAATGGTCTTCAAGAAGATGAACCCTGGGCCAGTTGCATTCACTCCTCCCAGAATGTGGGGCTCGGGGTTTCCCCCAAACCCAGGATGAGCCTCTTCATGCTAGTCCAACAGGGCATGTGTCCCCAAGGGCTCTCTTTTGCTCACAAAGAAGTCTTAGACTCCCACACACTCCCCAGAAACTGAGCCCTGGCTTTCACTGTTCTCTGGGGTCACTCTCCTGCCCTCAGGGCCAGCAGCTGGGGTCCTATTGTCTCCCCATCTGAAGATCTCAACTCCACCAGGTCCTGGAACCCCCTCAACTTCCAAGGTGCCCCCATCCCAGCCCCCACCCCCTAGCCTTCATCAGCATGCAGGCTCAGGCTGCCCAAACACAAGAGGATTGTTCTCCTTGCATGCTCAGGGTGGGGGGCTGGGAGCAGGCGGCCCACACACCCTGGCAGGCCCAGGCTGCAGGGAGCTGACTTGCCCCACCCTATGTCCCTGGACAGGCTCTGTCCACTCTTCCTACTCCCATCACTGTCCTCCATCTCCATCACCACTGCCCAGTGGGGCTGAACTCTTAAGGAAAGAGCCCTGGACTGCGCAGGTGGCCCCATGTTGCCTCCTATGTAGCCTTACAAACAATTCCATTCCTCTCTGGTCTCTAGTTCCTCTCTTGATTGGTGGGGCCTTTCCAGTTGTGATAGGCTGGGCCCACCCCAACTGTGTAAAACCTACCGCACACTCCAGTGCTTCTTCCAGCCCTTCTTCCTCCTGAGAAGACCCATCACACTCTGTCCCCCCAGAGATCTCAAAACAGCCCAAATTCTTTACCACCCTGGGCAACATACCCAGGGAGCCCTTAGATCTGGAAGAAGAATGGGACTAGGGTTTGGGATGCTGAGGAAGGAGCTCAGAATCCTGTGCATGTAGGTCCTGCCTCTGCACGAGTGGCTGGTCCCTCAGTCCCAGGTCCCTAGTGCCCCCAGGGCCCGTGAGCCCTAACTCTTCTCTTTGTACACTGAGTCTGGTCCAGTCTTAAATTTCCTATCCATCTGGAGTTTTTTGCTTAGCAGAAAGACAGGCTCAGAAATGCCCAAGTGGGACTCCTTTGACTTGAGCAGCTATATCTTTGGGGGGCACAGGAGTCCAATATATTACATCTGACTGGAAAGGTTGGGGTCCACACTGGAGGTCGCCTTGAAAAAGGTGTGTCTGAGAGATGGGGTGAAGATGAGGCAAGGGAAGTTGGCAGGGATTGAAGTAGGAAAGGCTGCGATACTGCCTGTTCATGCAGATTAGGCCTTATTCCTTAAGCACTGGGGTGCCATGGACAGTTATTGAGCAGCAGAGTGAGCATATAGTCTTCAGCATGAGAATGGAAACTAGAGACCTTTCTCAATTTGGTTGAGTACCAGTAAGTGAGGCTGTGCCATGAAGATGTGGCCTTTCTCCTGGAGTCTGGGCCTGGGCCTGGCTTGGTTTCCCTTGGCTATGAAGACTCTTGGCGGTGTGTGGGAGGGGGCGGGGGGGTGTCTAATGATACTCCAAGGAGACTATAGCCTTTCTGGCACCTGCCAGCTTCTCAGAACTCCCCTTCCAAGCTCCTCTTCTCTGGTACAGACCTGAATCAAGATATAGAGGCTGAAGCTTATAGACTCCAGGCTGCTTCTAGTCCCCTCCTCCTCCTCATCCCTCCAAAATTAGGTGTGATTGGCCATCCTAGGAGACTGAAAGGCTGAGGCTGGGCCCATGAGTCTGAGGATGCTGGGCAGAGGCCAGGCTAGTTAACAAGGGTGAGCATTGCCAGTGTAGGGGACAGCAGGGGAGTGAGCAGTCCTCTATGCTGACCTCCCCCAGGCCCAGTGTTCACCATCCTGCCACACCCTGCCTCATCTTATGCTCCAGAACCATTCCCCAGCATCACTGGGTGTGGCCAGCATGGCTGCTTTTGGAATGGGAGTAGAAGAAGGAGGCTATAAGGGAGCTGGGAGTACTGAGGGAGTTTTTGGGGGATGTGAGATGGGGGTGAAGTTGGAGACTGGATCTCCTCGCTTCTCCACAGCCCAGGTGAGTCCACAGGCCCTGGCTGGTCCAGACACTGGCCAGCAGAGCAGAGGGAATCCCCCAAGGGGCAGGCCAGTCTACTTGACTCCTGGCCCCAGGAGCCCTCCCCTCCCCCGGATTGTTCTTGCTCCAGAACAAAGCCAGAGTGGACACTTGATCCCTGTATGTAGGGGGAGCTGGCTAAGCCCCCAGCCCTTTGATTGGGCAGCTGTCATGAGAGAGAGAGACAGAGAGAGAGAGTGAGAGAGAGATACACACACACACACACACACACACACACACACACACACACACACACACACGGGGCGGGGGGGGGAGAGAGAGAGAGAGAGAGAGACAGCTGGGGGGGAGGGGCAGGAAGGGGGCAGCCGCCATCGCTTACACAGCTGTCACCCCTCTCCTCACCCCCTCCAGCCTGAGTGGCAGGAAGCCAGGGACAGAAGGAGTGGGCACTGGGTCCTGGGAGGGGGTCTGGGGAGCAGGAGGGAAGGCCCGAGGTCAGAGGCCTGGTCTGAGCTTGATACGTTCTGCCAGGGAGCCCTGCTGACCAGAGGGGGCTGGGCACCCTCGGAGGTGAGCTGGAGGTCAATGTGGCATGATTGTGGCTGCCACGTGAGTGGCCCAGCAGAGTCCTAGGGTCCACCAGACTGAAGCAGCAAGAAACTCCCTAGGGCCCCAGTGAGGGCACGGGGAGCTGATAATGCCTAGTGGAGTTGCTTAGTCTTGGGGCCCCGGGAGAACAGTGTGGGAGACATGGGTCAGGACCCTCTGCTCTCTCCTAAGGACAGGAAAGACCTTGAGGGTCTCTCAGAAGAGGAAGGGTGCAGGGAAACCAGAAACTCCACCTCCACTCCTCAAATGTAGTACAGGTGGATAAACCAAAGTCCAGATCAGGCAAGGGCTGGGCCAAGGTCACTGCTGAATTTGGGGCAGTGGGTCTCGCTACAGACCCAGGCATCTGTTTTATGGCAGGAGCTCCAGTCCTGGCTATGTTCCAGCCCTCCTGCCTCGTTTTTTTCTGGGCCCCAAGAGGTGATGAAATGGTATGGGGACAGTGTCAGGTCTCTTGTTGACTACAACCCCATAGGGATCCCTGTACTCCAGAAAATTCTGTAGCTTAAGACTATGGCTGTGGACAGATTGTCAGTACTTTCCAAACAGGACCCATGTCCACTACCAGACAGGGGTCTCTAAGACAACCAAAAGCCTGTACCCCATGTAGGAAGACTAATAGACCCAAACGGAAAGGGGACATAGATGGGGCCTGGTTCAGCCCTGCATTATCAGATAGGACCCTGCTAGTCCTTTCACACCCCTCCTCTCTGACCTTGGGCAGGTTACAGACCCTTGATAGGTATTAGGTTCCCCTTCTGTGTGGTGAACTCATCTCCTCAGCTCACCAGTGTGTTGCGTTTGAGCACCTTCTCTGGCCTGGCTCTGAACTGAGCCCTGGGGACATAAGGAGAAGGCGACAGCCTTGGCTCCTGCTCTAAGGGGCTCCCAGGCTTGGCTATCCAGGGAGACAGAAACCAAGCACGTCATCACAAGTGCTTTGATGGGGGAAGTGCAGGCAGCCAGGGGAATGTCTAGCAAGGGCAGCCAGCATGAGGTTGGCCAGGATGCCCAGAGAGCACAATCCCGAATCTACTGCCGATCTCTACCCTCCGGCGAGCCTATGGCAGAGCTCAAATGGAAGGAGGAGCAGGTGCCTGGGGAAGTGGCTGGGAACAGGGTTGACAACCCCATCCCATTGATGAGGAATGGACAGTGCATGCCACACGGTAGCTTGGGCTGGGAGTCACCATTCCATGCCTAAGCTCGGACTAATAAGGAGAGTTCAGAAGAGGACATTGGAGAGCTCATTGCCTTGGCCCTCCTGTCAGGATGTGATGGGACTGAGGAGGAAGGTGCCCAAGGGCCTCCAAAGTGCTCCCATTCCAGCACACTTAGCTTTGCCACCACCCCTTCCAGGCAGAGGTATGTGTAGAGTTGGGGCTTAGTGTGGGCCCAGTCTTGGCACCAGTTAGTCTCACTCCTTGTCCTGCTGAGCTGTGGTCTTCCAGTGAGCACCCCATCAAGGCCAAGTCTTAGTGGTGGGAGACAGCCGCTGAAGAAGGATTTCTGAGGGGGATTAACATTTAGGATTAAGTTGGGGCATGCAAAGGGGGAGTGTGGAGAGGGTTGGTGACTGAACTAATCCAACAGCTAATCTCAGACTCTGTTCCTCCATCAGCTAATAGCCTTGACATTCCTGCAGCCCACCAAATCCTTTTTTACCCATTACCCAGTCCCAAGGAGACCTATCCTTTCTGTTTTATGGGTGAGGAAATTAAGACCACAGCCCAAGTAACTTGTTTCTGGTTTAGTAGAGTAGTCCAGGCAGGGAATGTGGTCATCCTCAGCACATAGGAATAAAGCACCCAGCCCTGTGCTGCGTGCATCGCACTCAACTGTCTGCAGCGTGACCTCTCGTAGAAAGGGATTGCCTCTGAAGGCAGGGCTCCTGCCCCAGGCATTTGCCAGACACGGGCAGGACAGGGGCAAGTGGGCCCCTTTTAAAGGACCTAGCCGCCTTCATGGCCACCCTCCCTTTAAGACCTCCATGCTGCTCCAGCTCCCTCTCCAGCCGCTTCTTCACACTCAAGCCAGCTGGCCCTAGCCTCTAGATACAGGTGTTTCTTTTTTCTTTTTTTGAGACAGGGTCTCACTCACTATGTGCCCAGGTTGGCCTGGAACTTGCTATGTAGTCTGGGCTGGCCTCAAACTCTCAATCCTCTTGCCTCAGCCTTCTGAGTGCTGGGATTATAGGCATGTACCACCATACCCAACCTGGAGTAAATGTTCAACCTTAATTCTACCTTGGAGGTCCAATCTACAGAGATCCTCTCTTCCAAGAGGTCGGGGAGCAGGGTCTCCTTCTGGGCTCCTATAGGCCTCCTATTAATTCTTTTTGTTGTTGTTATTTTGGTGCTGGGGCTTGAACCCAAGGCCTTGCTCATGCTAGGCAAACACTCAACCATGGAGCCTCACCTCCAGCCCTCTTTCTAATATATCAAGTTCTTTTTTTTTTAACTACTTGAGCCACACTTCCAGCTACTTCTGATATATGAGAGGAAGGAAAGGATATTCACAATGTCTGGATTACCATGTATGTGCTTGTCGTTTCAATTTTCACGACTTTTAGGGGTAGGAGTCCATATCCCTTTTACAGGAGAGGGAAGCTGAGGCCCAGAATGGTTAAATAACTGTCTAGCGTTGCACAGCTAGTGAGACAGACACACACACAGGTTAGAGGGCCATTTGGAACTCAAGGTCTATGTAGTCTCCCTTCTCTGGGATTTGACTAGTCTGGGGTCCCCATGTAAGGGGAGGGACATGGTGAACTAGGTTAGTCTCTGACTCCTTTATTATTGCCCCTACCAGAACCAACCAGGCCGCAGGGGGGACACACTCCCAGGCTGCTGTGGCCCCAGCCCCGCCTGACAGGATGAGTAACTCAGATGCGGGGCTGGAGGAGGAGCCAGAGCTTAGCATCACCCTCACACTGCGGATGCTGATGCATGGGAAGGTGAGTGGGTGGGGTCACCATGGCTTAGGACCAGTGGAGGCAAGGCAGGGGCAAGGCTGGGCGAGTGCAAGAGTGATCTTAGCAGTCCTGCTTCCTGGGAGCCCCTGCCTGGATGCGGGGAGGGGCCGGGCCTGAGATATTGGTACCCATCTAACTCTGCTCTGATCTTGTTTGCAGGAGGTGGGGAGCATAATCGGGAAGGTAGGTGCCGGGTTTTGCTATGTATGCCCCGTCAATCTGAGTCTCAGCCCAGGATAAGAGGCGAGACCACTCAGGCTAAGAGGCATTTTGTGTTTTGTATCCCACAGAAGGGAGAGACTGTAAAGCGAATCCGGGAACAGGTGAGGATGGAGTTTGGGAGGAGTCCAGGGCACCTGATGTGGAGGGGAGGGAGCTCCCTGGCCCTTCTTCTCTCTTGGCTGGGGCCTGACAAGTGGGGCAGGCAGACAGATTGCTGGCACCAGGGTGGGAAGGTGCCCGCTGCCCAGTGCTCGTCCTGTACCCGCAGAGCAGTGCCCGGATTACCATCTCCGAGGGCTCTTGCCCAGAGCGCATCACTACCATCACCGGGTCTACAGCAGCTGTCTTCCATGCGGTCTCCATGATTGCTTTCAAGCTGGATGAGGTCGGTGACTGGCAGGGATGGGAGTCCATGTTTGGGAGGTTCATAGATCCATCTTTAGATAGTGCCTGTGGGTGGGAGGTGAAGTCAACCCAGGACAGTATTCCCTTGGAGGAGGTCTGGGGAGGGGGTACCCTCCTTATCCCTCAGAAGGATGATGCTTGAGAAGGGATGGGGGAGTAGCAGGGGCATGTATGGCCAATACACTGTCTCTCTACCCCAGGACCTTTGTGCTGCTCCTGCAAATGGTGGCAGTGTCTCCAGGCCTCCAGTGACCCTGCGCCTTGTCATTCCTGCCAGCCAGTGTGGCTCACTGATTGGGAAGGCTGGCACCAAGATTAAGGAGATCCGAGAGGTGAAGGGAGAGAGATACTGACCAGTTGTGAGAGGGGAACTGGGATCATTGCTTTGCATACCCTGGGGAGCTCTGAGCCTAGCAGCCCTTCTTTGGCCTATTGAAGTAGGAACTGGCACTGTTTTTGTTGTTGTTTTTGGAGGCAGAGTCTCACTGTGTAGCTCAGGCTGGCCTTGAACTCTCAATCCTGTCTTGCCTCAGCCTCCCAATGCTGAGATTATTGGCATGAACCACCATGCCAAATTGTAGCTGCTGTTTTGCTATTTGCAGACAACGGGAGCCCAGGTGCAGGTGGCTGGGGATCTGCTTCCTAATTCCACAGAGCGCGCTGTCACTGTGTCTGGGGTGCCTGATGCCATCATTCTGTGTGTGCGCCAGATCTGCGCTGTTATCCTGGAGGTACTGCCCTGGGGGAGGGAGAGAGGGAGGCAGGAGAGGGGCCCTGGGCCAGCCATGTTGGACACCCAAACCCTATGCCTGTGACATCAGGCAGTGCAGGGCCAGCCTGCAGGAGTGAAGTATGAACTCCAGGGCTTGGGGAGGCATTTATGTGGAGGTTGTGGGGAGGGCCTTGAGGCCAGTGGGCACTTGGGGAGGTTAGAGGGGACTGAGAGGGGCTGACAAAGCCTCTTCATTTGTGCCTTCCAGTCCCCACCCAAAGGAGCCACTATCCCATATCATCCCAGCCTCTCCCTAGGTACTGTCCTTCTCTCCGCCAACCAGGTGAGGGCAACAGTAGGAGGGGCAGGAAGCATTGCTGGAAGGGGACCAAGGTGGAGGGAAGGATGGAAGAGAAATTGGGGGTCTGAGAAGTGGGGGAGGAGTGACCTTGGTCAAACTGTCCTTACCTGTCACAATAACTCTCTTTGTCCCCACAGGGCTTCTCTGTCCAGGGTCAGTATGGAGCAGTGACCCCCGCTGAAGTGAGTGACCCACAGACAGTCCAAGGCCCCCCCTTCCTGAACTCCCTTCTCTGACCTCTGCCTCCTCTTCTTTGGCACAGGTTACCAAGCTCCAGCAGCTCTCGGGCCATGCAGTCCCCTTTGCCTCTCCCAGTGTGGTGCCAGGTAAGCTGTCCATGTAGAAGGAGGCAAGAGCAGATCCCAAGAGATTGGCTAGCTGCCCCCGCACCCCACCCCACCCCACTGAATGGACATGGGGGCCCGGAGAGACCTAGATCACCAATGCTCAGTTCCTCTTCTCTGCCTCAGGACTGGATCCCAGCACACAGACCAGCTCACAGGAGTTCTTGGTTCCCAATGATGTGAGCAGGAGGTGGGAGTGGCTAGAGGGTGGATAGAGTATGTGGGGGGCTGGGTCTTTCCCATGGTTAAATTCTGCCTTCCTCCCTAGCTGATTGGCTGCGTGATCGGACGCCAGGGCAGCAAGATCAGCGAGATCCGGCAGATGTCAGGGGCTCACATCAAGATTGGGAACCAAGCAGAGGGCGCTGGTGAACGGCACGTGACCATCACTGGCTCACCGGTCTCCATCGCCCTGGCCCAGTACCTCATCACTGCCTGGTGAGCATGGGGTGGGCTATGGGGGCATCACAGGTGGGGAGGGAAGAACTGACTTCCTTTCTCTTGGACTGGTCCTCTTCCTCTCCTAAGTGCTTCCCATTTCTCCATGGTATTCTACCCAAGTCACCCATGTTGCCTCATATCCCTCTGTATCCATCCTTCATGTCTGCTTTCCCCATTGCTGTCTCTTTTCTCTACATCTTTTCCCTCATTTCTCTTCTCACCCCATATTACATCTGCTTGTCCCCCCATCCTTTCACCTTTTCCACCCTCCCCCAAACACCTCCACCCACGTCATTGTTTTCATCTCACCTATCTCTTGGCTAACCTCATGCATATCTGCCCATTGCTCCATCTCACCTCCACTTTCCTCTTCATCTCCCCTCTATATCCCTCTCTCCAGTCTAGAGACGGCCAAGTCTACCTCTGGGGGGACGCCCGGCTCAGCCCCCGCAGACCTGCCCACCCCCTTCTCGCCGCCCCTGACGGCCCTGCCCACGGCTCCCCCAGGCCTGCTGGGCACACCCTATGCCATCTCCCTCTCCAACTTCATCGGCCTCAAGCCTGTGCCCTTCTTGGCTCTACCACCTGCTTCCCCAGGGCCACCGCCGGGCTTGGCGGCCTACACTGCCAAAATGGCAGCGGCCAATGGGAGCAAGAAAGCTGAGCGGCAGAAATTCTCCCCCTACTGAGGCCGGCTGAGGCACAGGCGGGGGCAGGCAGGACCACCGGCAGGGGCTGCCTCTGCATCCTACCTGCCCAAGGAGATTCCACCCTGGGGTCCCAAGTGCCGCTAACGCCAGACGCATGGATGCACCCCCTACCCTGCCCTGGTCTTTGGAGTTTCTTCTCTCCGAAAGGGGGCAGTTTCTGGTCCAGGGTTCTGGGAGCTGCAGCAGCCCCAGGGCAGGGGCCCCCACCCCTTCAGCTCTGTGCTTGGATGCAGGGAACAGCCAGGGGCCTCCCTAGTGCTCTCCATGGGAGGTCACCAATGTACTCTGTCGTCCCCTAGGGCTTCCAGGCCTGCTGCCCCTTGGGAATCAGGGAGGAAACCTGAGGGGCGGCTGGGGCCAAGCTTCTCTCCACCCCTGCAGGTCCCTGCTGCTTCCACTGATACCCTTTTGACTGGAATGGACTGGTTGGGCTTGTCAGGGGACAGGCCAAAGAGGGGGCTCTGCCGGCAGCCAGCTGGGGGAGTGGCCTGGGGGCAGGGGCCCAGTTCTCAGCAGCAGACACTCTGTACAGTTTTTTCAATCCCTGTTTTTGAATAAATATTCTCAGCGACCAGAAAGCTATGAAATATACTGGTGTTGGGGTGGCAAAACCTCCAGAAAGTGGGTGTGGCTGAAACCCCAGAAGACCCCCCTCTTTGAATACACCAGCCCCGGCTGGGCCACAGTCCCTTCCACATGCCAGTTGTGGGGTTTCAGAACACTTTGGGGGGCATGCTGTCCATCCTCTTGCTTCAAGCACCACACTGTTCCAGTTGTTTTCTGAGCATTTTAGAAGCGGACGAAGAGTTTCAGTAGTTCTGTTCAGTCTCTCCTTGGTACTATGTCAGGGAAGTCAACTGTAACGGGGACCCTGCTCTTCTTAACCCGTTAGTTTGATCCTGTGACCCTTAGGGCTCTTCCCGATAACTCTGTTCACCTCTTCTCCTCCCTGGGTCCAGGACCATTTATGAGTCTCAAAAGCCTTCACTGGAGAGGCTCTTGGAGATTTGCAGGGTAGTCCAGATGGGACAACAGGCCTCAGGAAGGGGTGGTTTGAGTACAAGGCCACAAGGCAGTGTTGGGGCCAGAACCTAGGGTTCTCAAGAAGCCTCTCGGGCCTCACAAACTTGCACACACACCTTTCCTCTTGTTCCAGGGCCAAAAGTCCAGGCAAAGCACCTGCCCAGACCTGTGCAGTAGGCTGAGTGGGCCCTTCTGAACCCACCCTCCTTCAGTGCAGAAGAGAGTTCTTAGGTGGCCCCTGGCATGCTGGGGCTCCGTCTTCCTGCTACCTCACTGTCCTGTACTGGTGCCTCAGAAGGGCCTAGCGTAGGACCCTTGGGGCGTCCCTGGAGGCGCTGCAGGAGTGCCCGCGGATGCCAGGCCTGCGGAGTGCAGGTTCGCAGGGGCCGGGGCAGCGCCCGGCGGGTGAGGCGTCCCAGCGCCAAGCGTACCGGGCGCTGCAGCAGGCCGTAGAGGAAGGGGTGAGCAGCAAAGGCTGAGTAGGCTACCCAGGTGACAGCCGCCTCGGCCTCCGCGGCCCGCGCCGCGGGCGCCAAGCACGCACAGCCATAAGGCAGCCAGCAGGCTGCAAACTGGCCCACGGCCAGGGCTGGGGCCAGGGCCGCTTTGCCCCCTGGCAGGCGAGGCCGGAGGGGTGGCAAGAAGGACAGGCGGCTGTCCAGCGAGTCGGAGCGTAGCCGAGACCCGCGCGCGGGCCGCGGCGGCCGCAGGGCTGCGCGACGCGCCACCAGGAAGATGCCGCCGTAGGCTCCGAGCAGCAGGAGGGCGGGCAGCGCGAAGGCCAGCAGCGCCCAGAGCGGACGGAAGGGTCCCAGTCCCCCGACCAGGACCGAGCAGCGAGGCGGGGCAGGGGGCGGTGCGGGCGGCGGCCCAAGCAAGGCGAGCGCGCCCAGGAGCCCGGCCGCGGCCCACACGGCGGTGAGCACCAGCCCCGGTGGTGGCCGCGCGCCTGGCCGCAGCGGGTGCACTATGAGGCGGTAGCGCGCCAGGCCCA